TATATGCCTTGTGAGTCTTGCCCACATCCTCAGGGTCTAACAGATCACCATATTTGGGGTTGAGAAGTAATTTCCTCCGGGTCAGATTGGCAGAGACCCTGTGGGGGATGGGGTTGTCTTTCTCTGCATCATGAAGCACAGGTCACTTGCAGGTTTAAACTAGTATAAATGATGAATTTTCTGTAACTTTAAGTTTTTAAACCATGATTTGAGGACTTCAGTAACTCAGCCAGAAGCTGGGGTCTATTTCAGGAGTGGGTGGGTGAGGTTCTGTGGCCTGCAATGTGCAGGAGGTCAAACTAGAGGATCATAATGGCCCTTTTGGACCTTTAAAGTCTATGAGTCTATAAGCAGTTTTAGTAAGGAAAATAAAACACTGAATAATCACAATATAAGGGGAAGTTAAGAGAAGGACTCCTACTTTATGACACCTGGGACTACTGAAAATGCATAAGAAAAATATTAGTTAATTCCTGCCAGAGCTAACTCAGATTATCAGGTGCAGGAAAGTCATGTTTATAGCAATGGATCTCAGAGCCAAGGAATGCCAGTTGAACAATGCAGAGCAAGTCCAGACGTAGGACTAGCCATGTAAAAGTAAAACAAGAGTATTGATGAATAATGGGGAAAACGTTTTCTTTGCTGCAGACAGCATTAGAGTACAGAAATGAATAAATATGTCCAGGCAAGGAAATGTGCATCTTAACGAGGACAGCTCCTGAACTGGGTGGTTTGTAATAATAATAATGTGCATTTACTAGTATAAGAAGCCTTCCCTTTGAGATTCTCAGAGTACTGTACAAACATGGCTGCAATGAGCTAGGTAGTTAAATGCTATTATACTCATTTTACAGATGAGTAAACTGAGGTACACCAAGGTATAGTTAATTTTTTCAAATATGCCCTCTAGCGTTGGGTGCCTCAGCTTTTGTATGCCAAACTTGAGATACCAAGATTTTGATTTTCAGAGATGCTGAGTCTCCACAACTCCAGGGGAAGTAAATTTTAACTCTGGATGCTCAGTACCACTGGGAAACAGGCCCTGTGTCTCTCAGACTGGGCCTACAAAAATGGAGGCACCCAGTGAGTGGCTTCCTTTGAAAATTTTGGCCTAACTTGTCCAGAGTTACACAGTGAGCCAGTGGCAGAGCCAGGAATTCTGAATCCTAATCCCTCCCTGTTTTGAATGTCAATCTTCCTGTCAGAATTTTGACCAGTGTACAGAATCCCTTAAAAATTAAACTGTAAATAAAACAAGAGTATTTATGACACTTCTGTTGGCATCACTCATTGCTTTGTTTTCTTTTGTTGCATTATTGCTATTTAATTGAAAAGTCTGAGTCATCAATATCAAATGTTTTATAAGGTCACAATTAAAGTGATTTTTTAGAAATTCACACTTAAGGAAGTAGTTGATTAAAATGTGATTTGTGTTTTTAATATGTAACATGTAAGTGAGTTTTTATGCTTTCAGGTAACTTGGGAACTGTGCCTTTACAATTATCTTCCCCCTCTACAGAAAATAGCAAACTGATGAGAAAGAGATTATATCAGTGAAGGAATTTATTATGCATTTTTTTCTATTGAAATGCAAGGAAATTTTGTGAAATATATACAGTATTATTTTTAAGGGTCACTTCTGCTTGGGCATTCTGTGGTAATACAATAAAAACATTATGGCCCGGATCCCACCAGAATTCATGCACATATTCTTAACTTTTTGCACACAAATGTTCCCATTGACTTCAGTGGGACTATGCATGAGTGTAAAGTTCAGCATGTGTGTTCGTTTTTGCAGGATCAGGGCCTTAAATAGCCATTGCAATCAAAAGTCAAATGTGAAGAACAACCAGAGGGAGCTTATACAGGAAAGGGAAAAAAATAATAAATAAGAAGACAATAGAGTAGGAATGATGGTCTAATGGATAAAGCATTGGACTAGGACTCAGGAGAGCACTGTTCAATTCTCTGCTTTTCCAGGCTTCCTGTGTGACTTGGAGCAAATCACTTAATTCACTCTGTGCGTCAGTTCCCCACCTGTAAAACTGGAATAGTACTCCCCTACCTTACAAGGGTGTTGTGAAAATAAAAGCCAGTAATGATTGTGAGGCGATGGTAACAAGGGAGCGTAAGTACCTAAATAGATAAGAAAATGTTCAAATAAATAAAATAATGGGCGGAGGGGCACTAAGTGTTGTTTAAATATGGAGTGGAAAGGATGTAAAAGAGAGCATATTCTGTACTTCCTGGTCCAGCACAACATGCTTGCCTAAGATGAGATGGCAGGTGGTGTCTAAATGCAGATGTTAAGTCTGTCTTGTTATGCTACATATATTGTTGCAAAATATAATAAGGTTCTAAATCATTGAGATTTAAAAAAGTTAAAAATACCCCTCCCCTCAAACAAACCTTTTTCAGGGGGTTATTTTGGTATCTTGGATTAAGAATCTCGCTCAGTTGGCCTGGGTGGCTAACCTGCAAGGAATTAATTTTTATCAATTAAAAATGACTGTTTACTATTTATAGTGGCATTAAAATATAGAAATGTTAGGCAATGTCATCCAAAGCAGCTGGGCAGGGAGCTCTGTGAGGCTGAACATGAGAAGGTGCTTCATGTAGGGGGACCAGGTTCTGGGTGGGAATACAGTGCTGGGATCCCCAGGGAAGAAAACCCCATTGCACGCATCTGTGCACAGGAGTAGGTTTCCTGTGCTGCTCTTTTCGTCCCTTTTCTCCCTGAGCAGCATGGCTCTTCATGTATATTCCTTATATACATATCCATCAGGTTGACCCCTGAAGCCATTATGGTCATATGTTACCTGTATTCAGAATGAGTATATGTACCAAAATATGCACCACACAGACACTCTCAAGTTGTTACCTCCCCCAAATCTGAGCAGTGTGTACATTGATGAGGAATGTCCCTCAGGGTTTAAATATCTATTAATTTTACATCCAGCTTTATGTGGTTGAGAGTTATTTTAGAGTCACTTGGTCAAAATCTTCTCTCAATTACACCTCTACAACCCCTATTTATGTTTAGCCTTACAATACATGTATACAACAAAGATAAGCCATTTTCATTGGTTAAATCAGGACTGAAAATACTCCAAGGGATAAGATCTAAGGTTCCATAGCAATACTCAGAGCAATTTCACTGAAATTAGTGAAAGGGGATGTAATATTATGGGGGGCAATGAAACCTGGGTTTGTTAGGACTGAGAAGGGTGTTGTTTTATATTTATTTAATCAGACATTGTCCTCTTCTCCTTATGATTTTCTCTTGTTAGGACATGGCACATGCACCCGTGTTTTCTCTCTTGATGAATGAAGCAGAGCTCAAGGAGTTTAGTTGAGATTGGTTTCCACTTCAAGAAAGATTGCTTCTTGCTGACTTAATTATAATTTTAAAAAATGGAAGCTGTTCATCAGGAAGCCAACACTTTAACTCCTTATATCTCTTCTGCCTCATATATGATGGGTGAAATCCTGACCAATTGAAGTCAATAGGAGTTTCGCCATGGACTTTAATAGGGTCAGAATTTGACTGTGATGACCCAGCATCAATGTGACACCATCAATAATATTATTAATAACGCACTCCTGTGTATTTTGATAGTACAAATCCATTTAATGTATCATCCAAATTATTTAAATGTGTTCATCAAGGTACCAAGTCTGAAGCTGGATCCAGTAGAGTGCCTATCGGAAGCCCCATTGACTTCAGTAAGGTTCCTCCTGAGTGGAGATAGAATTGCAGGGTCAGGCCCTTGTTAGCAAAGTTTGGTGTTCTAGCATATTGTGATATTTCATGTTTGATGAAGCAATTGCTTTGTGGCAGAAGTGAGTAAATAAACACAGTCAATTCACACAAACTTAGACCATGAGATGTGCATAGTAGGTCATTTTAGGTACACATCATGTATAAAATCATATCAGATTATTCCAGAGGACTGAGCCATGAGAAACCTTTGATTTTTGTTTTGGTTTGGAAATTCCAGCTTCATGCTGTCTATGTCCAAGGAACATTCTGATGAGGCTCCCTGCTGTGTCCCCTTTGGGAAAGACAAGGTGGGTGAGGTAATATCATTTATTGGACCAGATTCTGTTGGTGAATGATGAGCTCCATGGAGCTCTTTCTTCAGTTATTTACAAATTTTGAACATTTCCACTTGCAGCAATCACCTCCTGTAAGGTACAAGTATCAGCTCATGACACATTAATGTAGCTCGTTGTTAACATGATACACTTTCAAATCCGTTACCAAATGGCTGGTAGGCCCAAATCTAGCAAAGCACTTAGGTCCATGCGTCACTGTAAGTACATGAGTGGTCCCATCATAGTCAATATGTTCACCCTTTTACAATGCTAACTGATCCTTAGGAAATTGCCAAAAAAGCATAAAGACAACACTTAGCTTTGAAGTCAATAAGTTTACTTGTGCTTAAGTTTACCCACATGCTGAAATACGTTGCTGGATTAGAATCCTAGTGCATGAGCTGAAAGACTGAACCCATATCTGAACCATGATTGACCAGTTGTCTGCCAAATGAAAACAATGTTCAGGGAACTTCTTTTCAACCTTCATATTGTGTCACATTAGATGCATTTCTGACTTTACATTAGTATGTGTGTGTGGGGGTGTTGTTTTTGCCCATTTTGTAATTTTCTGAGGATTTATTTTGATTTGTAAATAGGCAAACACATTAGTTAAAGCCAGATAGCATCTTCTGACCAGCTCTGCCAGTAAATCACTGAGCTATGTAATTGAGTTTGTGTAAAATTATGCATTGTAACCTTGGGAATAAATAAAATAGGGGGAAAAAGTAGATCTTTAAACTCATACCATTTTTTCAGCACACAATTTCTTTTGATTCTTCTTTTGCCCTCCAACTAGATCATGTTTGTTCTTCTTTCAGAGTTCAAATGAAAAACAAACTACAATATAGAAGTGGTGAAATTTAACTGAAATGGGTAATAATGTCTGATTTGGCTTGTAGGTGGAGTGGAAGACAATGCCTGCATTTATGGTTAACTATAAGTGATACACTAGGAAGATGATGGTATTCAGACAAACACAAACAATTTGATTCAGATAGATTGGATACAAGATTTCAACCAGCATAAGGAGAACAGGTGAGAACCCTTGAGTGTGAAGCTGAAATAAAAAGTATTCTGGTGGACAGGGAAAATATTTCTGCTATAATACAATAGACCTTCTATTATATATTAAAACTCTTAATTAAAATCTTCCCAAAGACACCTTATAAATTAAATGGAAATACAAACATGTTAATCAAATGGGGAGGCATATTTGCAGATAGTCACTAAATCAGTGACACATCTTCACAATTTTAACAGTGTTAAATAGCAGGTTTGCTTTGATTTAATTTAATTCAGCGATTCCTTATATCTTCACAGGTATGTTTTCAAAGAAAATCTGCTGACCCTGACTTGTAACTTCCAGTTTTCCTGTTCACTTAGGTTTTTGTTGTTGTTGATTTCCATGCTATTTACAGCCAAATGATGGGGTCAAAGCTTCCTAACAACATGGCCAACAGATGTAGCACAGAGATGACAACTGGAGGTTTCAGTGCTCTTTTGTTACCTGAGCACTGACTGATGGTTGAGATGCTGGAAGTCTGAATGTCAAAGGGCACCAAAAGGCTCTTACAGTCTTTGGAGCCCAAATCTACTTGGGAGAGAAAAGACCCCCCCAAAATATGCGTTTTGCTTACCTTTATGCAGAACTGAAATGAGCTGTTTGCTGGAGATTCATACTCTAGAAAAGAGGCCCCTTATGTGTTCTGAGGAATTTAATGGAGTTCTCTCATCAACTTTTGGATGGAAAACAAGCTTTGAAAGCTGTCAAAGTGTATATATTTAATGTTTGGAGATTTGGTGGTTTTATCTAAAAGTGAAACTAGCTATTGATAGAAAAGAAAAATTCTGATAAACAAAATCAGAATAAAACCAGCCCCTCTGTGTGCTTACCGAAAGTTTTCTCCATTGACTTTGTTTGAACTTTCTTTGGGTGTGAGAGTTTAGAGACTATTTTTTTCCCCTTTATGTCAGAAAAATGATTGCTAATTCATCAGGTGGTGTTTCCCCCTTTCTCCACTCCTAGCTGTAATTAAAACAATTATTGAAAATGTTTCAAATCTCTGTAGTCTTTAGTTAACTTTTAAAATTTGTATTTGAAAAAGAGCAGTAAAATTAATTTGCATCTTGCTCAGGAAAGTGCTCATGACTTGAGAGTGGATGTTACTGCATTGCCAACAAAAGGAATGGGATTAATATTAAACTTGAATTTATATAGAGTTATTCAGTTAACTGTTTTATATTGGAAATTAATTTCCATATCTCAGAGGTGTCTACGGACTCATGAATACTATGTTCCCAGTACACAGTCAGATAGATATTCCACTTAATATACATGGTACTCAGAGAAAAAAAAAACTTAAGAAGGAGGTAAAGTGAGGCTTGCCAGGATAACTGAGCGAGTCTATATTCTACAGATTACCCAGTATGTAAATTTAAAAAGTGTCAGGGATCATTATTTTGAAGAAAAAGAAATAAGAAAAAAACTACAGTTTTGTCTTTCTAGAAAGAAAAGTTACTTTGGAAACTCGGAGCAACAGAAACTTACAAAAAGGCATGTTTTTATTTTGAAACACCTTCTTTCCATATCTTTGTTTCTTTAATACTTCAGTAGCTGACTTTAGAATCTTATAATTCAGGCAGTCTTGGAACAAGACTTTATTCTTACAACAAGCTTTTTGGTAATCCGTTCTTTTTCATCCTTTAAAAATAGCCCTTAAACATCATTACAAATCAATATACTAGGTCAGTTTAAAGTGAATAATTCAAATTGGATAGCATAGATGAAAAGTATAAATTATGAACTGTGTATATAACAGATAAGTACATGGGATTGAAATATATAATATATATTATATATATAACCCAGCTAGTAACTGGAGAAATATTTATGAAAACACATCTATTCCATTAAAGACTTGTGAGAAGTACATATTCATTGATAAAAAGGGTGTATTGACAAGAAAGCACAGAGTATGCTGCAGAAATAGCAAAAATACTATTTACATGTGCAACAGCTGTAATGGTTCTTTCCCTAATAGCTGAGTTCATGCCTGCAGAATATGCAAACAAGTTGGAGGTGTTCATTCAGAAGTAACTGCTGTACTGACCATTTTTTTTATGCGAACATGTGCTTTATTTATATATTGTTTTAACTACCTCCTAATCTCACTGCTCCTCCCCCTCATTATTTTGGTTTGATCTGGAATTGTGGATCTCTCTGCGATTAAAATGAGAAGTGATAACTGGCAGTGCAGAAAATACTGGTTAGTGAATTTTCAAAACAAGCTTAATTGATGAGGGCTTGTGAAATGACCTGTTTTTCTAAAGCATGTGTACAAACCTGCATGCACATGTTTGCATGCCCCAATTGCATAGATGTAAATGTTACTTGAGAGCACATGCATATATCTACACACACCTGATGAGTGCATACATGTACCTATATGCATGTGCTGAGGAACACTTTTACACACATGCCTTTGAAAATCTGGACTAATATTTATTAGTTAACAAACAACTGAACAAAAATATCAGTAATGATAGCTCCAAATAGTGATATTCCCCCCACCCCACACACATACGTTTTAAAAAATGGCCTAACGCTATTTGTACAAATATTTTCCAGTGATTAAAGGCAGTGTAGTCTCTTCCTTTTTCTATGCTTTTCTGTGGACATTTTTTGACTATAATATAGACAAAAATAATATACAAATATTAATCTGCATCTTTGTTTCAGCACAACCTCAATTTGACATTGCATTTTTGCCAGGTGGAACAAAGAGCAATAAATTAGTTTTGAACGTTTATGATCTTGTATTATAAAGACTCTGCAACAGACGGTGTTCAAAATCAATTGTCAAAGTGATGGGGGATTAATAACTCTGGGTAAGGGCACATTTCAAGATCAACTGGGCATATTTCAAGATCAACTGCCATATTTCATTATTGCAACTTATATTTAAAACACGTTTTGGATGCTTTTTTAGAAACCGATTAGATTTTAATAGAGCTGAGTGAATAACTCATAATGAATAACCGAGTTGATGAATTTTATCTTCTGTTTGTGGAATGTTTTTTGAAATTATTCGGTAAAATTTTTTTTCAGTTTCAGTGACTATGTGGCTTGCAATTCAAAATCAGAAATTTAAGCTATATTGCTTAGTTGTGACTTATTACAAGACACATGATATTGTTTCTGTTCCCTGACAAGTTGAAGGAAACTCCTATAATCAGATTTCTGGGGTGAATGTTCGTGGAGGGCAAATTTAAAAATCCCTTTCCACAAATATGCAAGTTTATAATTGGTTTTAAGAAACAGAACGGGTAGTAAAAATCCAATGGTATGAAAATAGTTGGAAAGTAAACACAAAGAGACATCAATATCACCAAGGCAAAGTCATTTTAAAATCCAAATCAATATTTACAGACATTTTTTGTAGTATTTGCCCAGCTCTAGTTTTCCCCTTATTTGCTCAAATACCTATTTTGAGAAAAGATCACCAAGTTTAGACAATAAATGTAAGGGAAGTGTAAAGGAGAACTGTGGGTGCTAGGTTCCAAACACTGACAACTTCACTGAATAATTTTAGCTCTCCAAATAGGGGTGGTTTGGATCTCAATTGTATTTCATAATAATGACATACATTCAGTGATAGTTGTCTTGTTCTGGTAAGACCTTAGTTTTCTTCATCCCTCAGCCAATGATTTTGGGTCATCAGTGGGAGATCCATTTGTAGACTGTGAGGCTATGAAGGACGTGTGGGCTATGTTTCTTTTTATATATGTATATTATTTTGACTTGCCTCTAAACACTACATATTTTTCAACAAAATGCACATGCATAATCTCAAGAGCCATGCATCCCATTTAACTGTCATTTCCTTTGATTAACCTTCCCCTGACCTCACTCCCTAAGGCTATTTCATTTCCTTTTGCCCCTCCATTTAAATACTGCACTTTATCAGGTAAGTACATCTGTCATTGAAGAGCTGGCTATTTTATTAGAGCTCACCATATATGTTTGTTATAGAAGACTGTTTGCAGAATCTTTCACTGCTGAGGACAGTTTAGTCCAATGGAAACAGACCTGTTGTGAGCAGTTATGTGCCTCCTTTAGAAATGTGTGCATTCGTGACAAAGAAACTACGTAAATACAGTTTATGCGTTTAAACCCCCCGCATTAGAGAGGTGTGTGGATATGTGTTTTTATTCATAGAGTTTCAGGCTAGAAGGGGCCATTATTAGCATTAGTTGGGAATATTTCAAATCAACTTTTTTTATTGGAAAATGCTGATTCATTGAAATGGAAACTGTTCACAGGAAAGGGGCAGTTTTGATAAAACGACTGATTTAAAAAAATTGAATAATTTTTTTGGAATCCTGTTGAAGCATCCTGTTTCAACACTTTTTAAATGAAAAGTTTTGCGTTTTGTTTGAAATGACATCTCATTTCAAAATTTTAGATATAAGGTAATTTTTTAAAGAAAAGGTTGAAATAGAAATGAAATATTTCAAAATTATCAGGATGCAATGTTTCAATGAACCTGATCCAAATTTTATTTTATTTTATTATTAATTCATGAAAAATTTTGAGACTTTGACTTTTTGTTCCAGGGACAGGAAAAAAACTGAAAATTTCGAAAGGGAAAACTGTCTCCTGATCACTTCTAACCATTATGTCATCTAGTTTGACCTTCTGCATAACCTGGGGCACAGACCCTCACTCAATCGTTCTTGCATCAAGCCCATTACTTCTGTTCAAGCCATAGCATGTCTTTTAGGAAAATATCCAATCTTGATTTTAAGACTGCAAGTGATGGTGGATTCTCTATGACCCTATATAAGTTGTTCCAATGGTTAATTACTCTCACTGTAAAAAATATGCACCTTATTTCTAGTTTGAATTTGTCTAGCTTCAACTTCCAGTCATTGGATTTCATTATGCCTTTTCATACTAGATTAAAGAGATGTATACTACCTGAAATTTGTTCCCTGTATAAATACTTGTACACCATGGTCAAGTCACCCCTTAA